TTAGTCAGGGGCGGCTCCAGGCACCAGCGCAGCAAGCGCGTGCCTGAGGCAGCAAGCTGCGGGGGGCGGCGTGCCGGTCACCATGAGGGCGGCAGTCAGGCAGCCTTCGGCGGCATGCCTGAGGGAGGTCCGCCGGTCCTGCGGCTTCGGCGGCAATTCGGCGGCGGGTACACCGAAGGCACGGGACTGGCAGATCACTCGCAGGCATGCCGCCGAAGGCCGTTGACCAGCGAACCACCCGCAGGCATGCCACTGAAGGCCGCCTGACTGCCGTGCTTGGGGCAGCAAAAAACATAGAGCCGCCCCTGACCTCAGTCTCCCCTTTTTAAAGCTTTCCCTTCAGGCTCACAATCCTTTACAATCCTTAGCTGGGGCTTCTACCCAGTAGGTTCCTGGTTCCTGCATGCCCCTCGCTGAGACTTAGCTCTCAACAGGTTCCTGCCCCACCAGATCCTTTTGCCTAGGAGCTCTGGACAATTGTTATCTTCCCTCTACCTCGTAAGCTCCCTTCCCAAACTCTCCCTGGGTCAACTCAGGCTGTCTTTATAGTCCCTCAAAAGCCTATTTTCTACTCACAGGTTCGTCCTTGTCACGTGATTGCTGCTGTCATTTCCTTTACCTGAGGGGGAAGGATAAGCCTGGTACAAGTGAAACTCAGCCCCAACCCCGTTAGAGGGCCAGCTCCCCTGTGACAACACCTTTTAATTTAATCGAATGACCCCTTGTTCTTGTGTTATGAGATAGAGAAAATAAAGTTCTCTATCTGCCTTGTCTACACCAGTCATTACGTTACATGCTTTATCCTGAGAGGGACAAGCTTCCACAGAGCTCTTCTTCAGGTCTGGGAAAGTGTGACAGCTAAATAGAAGGATGGAACTGATAAGGAGTTAACATGTTGCAAGAGTGTGGGCAGTTAACACCTCTATAGTGGCAGGACAGAAGAGCATTAGTGGGTCAAAGATTTCTGTAATGATCCATAAAACCAGTGTCTTTATTAAATCCATGATTTTTAGGGTACAGCTACAGTAGAGAGCTTACAACGGCACTAATGCGCCACTGTAAGCTCTCTAATGTAGCCAGTCTAAGCTGACGGGAGAGAGCTCTCCCACTGGCTTAACTACTCCAGCCCCTGTGAGCAGGAGAAGCTATGTCAGTGGGAGAAGCTCTTCTGCCGCCATAACGCTGTCCACAGCCAGACTTATGTCAGTGTAACTCATGTCGCAACATAAGTTATACCGACATAAGCTGTAGAGCAGACATAGCTTTAGTGTCTTGCAGCATCATGAATTTAAGCTCATAGATTTGTTTTTTGAAGGTGTCATGGAGGTTTCCTTCGAGGATGAGGACTGAGAGGTCAGATATAGAGTGGTCATTTTGTACCTCTATCTAGATATTATTGTGAGTGCCTGCTTTGTCACAGCTGTAGAGTCCACACTTGAATGGCCTGCTAATAAATAAAAAGTAATAAAAACCACAATGAGTTAGCTAAGCAGTTTGGCAGAGCCAAGCAGCAGTCTGAATGCTAATGGAAGGGAGCTGGGTTCAGCATGAAGTCACTTCAGGTCTCTTTCTCCCAAGGCCTGGAGGAAATATTTCTCACACATACACATGAAAGATCACCAGTATTTACAGGAGCCTGCAAAAACATTCATTTCCATAAACCTTGCAATGTGAGATTCACTGAGAACCAAACAGCCATGCAAATACCTGCATGACATTAGGCACCGCAGCAAGCACTGAATGAAATACTTACTGTGGATCATGAAGCGACTATCTGTAACTTTGGGCAAGAACCAGAAAGTCTGGGTTCTGTGTACATTAGGCAGCTGGTTGAATAGCTCTGGCCAAATAATTAAAGAAGTTTTATTTTAATACATTAATCCATTGATTAATTGAATGATGGGAAAGAGCAGTAGGAAGAAGCCTTTCCTTTTGCACTTTGAGGCGTCTCCCCCAAATTTTTCAAAACTGAATCCCACTTATGGAAAATGCAACTAATCACAATCTCACCACATCCAGCTACCCAAAGTGAGCAGTCAACTCACAGCACATTGTGTAGATCTTCATAATAGGATACTTTCTCTCAGGTTTGTAGTTAACCATACTGACATTTAAAGGATCATCACTGGCATATGAGTTAGCACCTATTGAAATGATTGGGGTGGTTCACGCCTCAGAGCTATTAGTTCAGGCTCTGTGCAAATTCAGGATGATATTGCTGCATCAGTTCCATTTGAGTCATGTCTTGAAAGTTTTCTTCACAACCATAACAGCTGGAGACATACTTGTCTTTTAATGAAATCTGAGATACTGGGGAACAATTGAAGGCTCTATCTGCACCTTCCCTGGCTAACCTTTCATGCCACCCCAAGGGGGGATGTTCCAGAGTGTGTCTTAAAATGTCTAAGTGAGTTTCCCAACAGAAAGTTCTTCTCTGAGGGCCTCTGTTCATTGCCACGTGGGGGTGTCAAGCTCAGGAAACGTACCAATTTGGTTCTGTCAGAGTTGCACTCTAGCGACATTGACGTCTGAGTCAATTTAAGGGAGGGCACTACCTGAAAGCCTATGTTCCTCCTCCTTCACAGTGAAAAGCATAGGAACACGCTGCCACAGTGGGTTTGCTTAGTAGGCCAGCTGAATCCTCTTCATTTTACTCAATTTACTTTTATTTTACTTCAGTTTAATTTAGCCAAATTCATTTCCAAAAAGTTCTCCTCAAGCTGCAAGCCCAAAATGGGGGTTAAGAGATGCACCACTTGACCAGCAATGTAGCCCCAGTCCAGCGCACACAGTGGATGTTTGATGTGCCTAGGGGAGGCTTATATGTCCTTGTGATGCTCACTTTGTTGGGTGTTCACCCCTACAGCATCAGCCACTGGGGCTACAGGCCTGTCTTTTCGTGGCTATGTCTACACAGAAAAAGCTGTATGCCACCTAGCCTACCTGCATCAGCTTGAATCCAGCTAGCACAAGTAACAAGAGCAGCGAAGGTAGCACAACGCAGGTGTAATGGTCCTCACTTGGGGGTCTGGTTGGGGAGCATGGCCTAGTGGTCTTTGCCACAACCCCTGACTGCCAAGGGGGTTGAGGGGAGGGGAGCCCACGCCCTCCCACTCCACCAGGCTCCAACCCAGGGCCCTTTGGGCTACCAGTCGTTTGGCAACCAAGGCTGCTTGAGGCTGTCCTCCTCCCTCTCCTCCAGGGTCAGCTCAGTCCAAGGCCTTCCCCTGGTGGGGAAAGCCAAACCAAAAGAAGTAAGAGGGAGTTACCAACATCCAAGGTCACAGGATACTTCCCTCTCTGGTTGTCTCTGGGGTGAGTCCTCCCTTCCCACAGGGAGGGCCCCTTTGGGCAGTTATGTCAGAGCCCTTAGGGTTCCCTCGGCTCGGCTCTGCTGGAGCTGTGGGCTGCAGGTCTGCTCCCCTCCAGCTCTGAGCAAACAAACTGAGCAAACTGCACCCTCTGCTGAATTGATCCCTACAGTATATTGTAATGAACTGACTAGTGTGTATGTGCCCCTTTGGTCTCTAATGGAATCAGAACCACTCGACTATGTATCATTAGGGTGACCAGACATCCTGTTTTTAAAGGGACAGTCCCATATTTAAGCCCCCCTGCAGGTGTCCCAACTTTTTCTTAAAAATGGGCAAATTGTCCCGTATTTTCTGTCTCCCCCACCAACAGTACTGGCCGGATCCCTGCTTGCCAGCCGCTCGCCCACCAGTGGTGAATGGGGGGTCCCATGACCGATGATAGGGCTGGTGGCGGGGCAAAGATGCAGCATGCTGGGTTGGCTGCTCGTCCTGCTGGTCCGTCAGCACAGCCCCTGCTGTGTGCCGGCTCTCGGCCAACAGAGCCCTGCCCTGTTTCTGGCCGGCACTGGCTGTGCACTGTGAGCTGCAGTGGTTGGTGAGTGTGGGCGGGCAGCGGGCAGCGACCGGTTATGTGTCACCTCTGCTGCCCAGTACTGGGCGGGCGGCGCTGCTGGCGCCCCCCCCCCCCCCGGTCCCAGTGTGGTCCCAGCACTGAGAGGATGGGTGGCATGGCGTGGTGTGGTCTTGCGCACCATGGTGCCCAGCCTGCCTGCCCCAGCCTCTCAGCCACTGAAGGGAGCAGCAGGCAGGAGGGGGCCTGGTGGAGCATGGGCAGGGCCACACTAGGCTGTTTGGGGACTTTCACATTTTTGAAAAATTCCAACTCGTCTAAGAGCTGGTTTAAAAAAAAAAAGAGAGAGAGAGAAATTTGGGAAAAGGTTTCAAAACATTTTATGCAAAGTTTTCATTGACATTTCAAAAATTCACAACCAACCTACAGTTGTCACAAACTTCTGTTTACTACCAAGAGGAATTAACTTGTATGCACACCACACGTCACTGCTAGATGAAACCTAGCAAACTCCTACCATAAAGCAACATTCACTTAGGATCCCCTCACCTCTGCTTTTTGCCACAGAGAGTATGACTTGCTTCGTTGGCCAAAATTCTGTCCAGGGGGATGACAGAGTGGGGCGAGGAAGAATAGTGAGCCCATACTTCTTAGCCATCTTTCTTCTCCCATACCCAACCCTGTGGCCATCCTCTGTGTGAACCACATCACTATTCTCCAGCCAGCCCTCAGGAATTTTCCTGTTTCCTCTACAGTCTCAAACCCAGATTGAGGTTGGGTTACAAGGTGGCCAGGGTGCAGCTAGGGAAATTGTACTAACAAGGGAACGTTGAGGTCCCAGAATATAGTAGGAAGGTGCTAGTTCTTCTCTGTGCATGTGCCCCGAGATCAGCAAGAAAATCCAATAGATTTAGGGGCAGCTGTACAGTGGTTATACAATAGATTTGGAAGTTTACAACACTAGTTCTACCACAACATACATAAACCGCTGCTTATGATACTGCTGGATCCATTCATTAAACTACAGCTTTAGAAAACTTAAGAGACATGAATCGATACAAAAGCTACAGAACTTAAAGCATCTAGAAAAAGCACTACGATTGCAATGCTGCACTGTTTAATTCACATCGTCTCCAAGGGTTTCATGAGCGCAAAGCAATATTATACAGTTCAGTGGAGCCAACCTATGCAGTTTTATTAAGGAATCATTCATTGCTTTGATCCTATATGAAAGACAGCTATATATTTGTAGACCAGAATATTCTGCTGGTGAGGAATATTTTCTCTTGGCAGGAACCCAAGCATCAAAATGTAGGTTTTTGCAGCTGTGGTGAGTAATCTGTCAGCAGGGAAACCATGACAGCCTAGAGGGGGAGGGGAAAAAACCCAGTCATATTGGAAACAGACACTGCAAACAAAATAAACGGGGAAAAATATTTTTGAGTTCCAAGGCTTTGTGCTGAAAACAATTTTTCCCAGCAGAAACTGCATGCTTAGATTTATTTTCTAGAATTTCCAATGGCGAAACATCAAATAGTTTAAAAATTAGTGTTCTGTTTGTATTCAGTAGGTTTCCTCTGTGCACACCATACATGAATGCACAGTAGTGGAGGAGTTCAGAAAAACAATGCTAGAACCAATATCAATACTGGACCAAATCCTGAAGTCTTAACTGAATTCTGTCTGCAGTTACTCCTGATCTGTGCTTGTGTATATGGGAGCAAAATTTGACCCTCAATGAAGACATGAGCAAAATTTCCATTGACATCAATAGGAGTTTTACTTGAGTAAAGACCTCAAGATTTGACCCAGTTTAACCGCAGTTGTTGTTGCCCCATAAAATAGAAAACCCTGGCTGTACTGTGTGTCATGCAACTTCCTTGTGCTTCATACTTTCTGACAATCTTTAGGTATATCAACCGTAGAATGAGAGTATTGGAAAGTGACAATCAGAGAGAAGTAAGATTGTATCTAATCGGATTTGTTTTTCTCTACGTGTTTGTATACACAGACGCTGCACTTCTGTTCTTTATCTATTTTTGTCCAGGTATTACTCTAGTTTATATTGCCACTGTTTTACAGTAATATTTGATTGGAAAGGTGTGCTTAGAACAAATGCAAGTTCCTCTGAGAGTGCTGGTGACTCCATTTCTGTTTTCTCACTTGGGGGAGGTTGATGTTTGTCAGCATGACTGTTCTAAAACCTACAGTAAATAGTAGTTGTGAAAAATATGACACTGGTAGGAATATTGAGGATGGAGTTACAATTTGTGTTTAATGCTGAATATATTCTTGTAGCTCGCATGGTACACTTAGTGTTATGCAGGGCCACAGCCCAATATGTAAGTAGAGAGCTTATACTTTTACTTCAAAGGCTTCATTTTGCAATCTTTCTTCCAGCAAAATTCCCACTACCTTCCGTGGCAGCTCTGATAGCCATCTCTGATGGCATCTGCTATAAACATTTTTAAAAATTGTAGCCTCTATAGCACCATTCTTGGGATTGGTATTTGGAGTGTTTGAAAGAGGTGTATCTAAGGGATTGTCAACACTCTTGAGGTTATAGCAGCATAGCTACGGTGCCGGTGCCGTAACCCTACAGCGTAGGCACACACTACAGTGACAGAAGGGTTCTTCCATTGCAGTAGTAACTACACCTCCTCAAGCGATGGTAGCTAGGTCAATGGAAGAATGCTTCCACTGACCTACCAGCATCTGCACTGGGAGTTTAGATCAGCGTAGCTGCAGCACTCAGGGGTGTGGATTTTTCACACCCGAGTGCCAAAGGTGCGTCAACCTAAGTTTTACGTGTAGACAAGGCTCAAGCTAATTGCTAGTGTAACTCAATGACTTCCATATAATAAATTGCAGTTAAAAGAATAGATTTCACTTGATTAAAACAATCTGGGTCAAGCAAGAGTAGATTAAGGTACAAGCAGGAAAGAGTTGATATTTGATGCACTTAAAACCGTGACATATTAGGGTGTGGTTTTGAAACATTTATATTAAGGCATGTGCTTTACTGAGGAGTCATGCTAAATCCAAATCTGGATTGAAGGGTAGAACGATCGTCAAGTACTGCCTAACCCCAAACTCATGGGCGGCAGGTATCATAGGCAGGGATAGGCTGTGCCTCCCCAAACAGCCTAGCATGGCCCCGCCCACGCTCCACCCGCAGGCCAGGTCCCCTCTCTGTGGTTCCCAGAGCCCTGGCTGGCCCAGGCTGGCTGGCCCGCCTCCTGTAGGGACTCAGAGTGGCTGGTGCTGCAGCTGTGCCGCTCGGCACACTGGGGCTGGGGGCGCTGCCACCCAGTGCACCAGGACTGGCTGTGCTGCCGCCTGGAGCACTGGGGCTGGGGCCTCGCCCCCCGGCTGCCTGGAGTTGGGGCCAGGGTCCACGGTGCGGGGTGCTCTGAGCTCCTGCAGGGGAGGGGGGCAGAAGGGGAGAGGAGAGGTGGGGCCTTGGGCACAAGGGGAGGGGCTGGGGACTAGCCTCCTCCAATGGCTGGGTCACCAGCCGCCCATGCCCAAACTGTTCTTATTTGCTTTTCATACCATAATTGTCCATTTTCTGTTTTCAGCCTCCTGGAAAGCCAGTGATCGTGGAGAATAAAATACTTCATCATTAACTTCTTCTGGCTTTCTTGGTAAACAGTGTAAAAAGGTCCAGTCAGAGGCCGCATGTTTTCCAGTCTAAAGATAAAAAAGCATGAAAAAGTTGAGTGATGTGATGGTACATTAGCAAGATCTTTAAGTGGTGAGAAACTGGTCTGGGCCAGATTCTGATCTCATTTACACTTGGTGTGAACCCCAAGTAATTCCACTGACGTCAGCAGAGTTAGTCCAGATGGATACCAGTGCAAATAAGATAAGAATCCAGGGTGAAATCCTGGGCCCATTCAAGTAAATGGGAATTTTACCACTGATTTCAGTGGGGCCAGGATTTCACCCCTAGACTTTTGTCTTTGAAAGGAGAGTATGAATTGTGGTGAAGCAGCAGGTCAATCAATAAGTACACTCTGGACAGTAACACCACATGCTAACAAAATATATGGATAATGGCAATAACTGCATATTAAGACATGCATAAAAAGGCCTTGGTCAATTCTTTTGATATGAGTAACTCATAATACGTCAATCTAATAGATGAACAATGGATTATAGCATTTTAAGCAAGTGGAGCCATGTCTTCTACTAGCATTCTGTGGACCTAGAGTTAAAATATGGTCAGTTAGATCACGGATTCTAATAGAGACTAAAATGTCATTTTTTATATTTCAATCGTTAATATTCTGTTTCCATTTTCTCTAGCAGTGGTTGCTCTGATAAATATTTCAGCTAAATGGGTTTTTAAAAATATTTATTTAAAGCTTTGCCCATTTACAGATACATGCAAATCTGCCCAAAATGGTGCCCTGGCCGTGCTCTCTATGAATTGCAATATGAGCATTATTGCGACTTAGCTTGAGAAACATTCAAAAGATCTTCTCTTGCAGTGTGGATATAACAAGGTGGGGTGCGCTGGGAGGAACAAAAAGTTAAATACAGAGTCCTTGAGAAGGGGAGGGTACACTAATACCCGTGACCCTTCCTCATAAGAGCTATCAAATGAATGCTTTGACGATGTTGATCTTTAAAAATGGAATCTACAGAAGTGGACCAGAACAAATAAACTCAATACTGCCAACCTCAAGAGATCAAAAATCATGAGTCTGACACCTCCCCTGCTGCCCCCAAAAAATCAGGAGATATTTTAAAAAAAAGATTATATTGTGGTTTTTTGGTCTGTCTTTTGATTTTTTGAACAACCCCCTGCCCATCCCCAGTGTGTTTGTGCTTGGCAACTAGTGTTGTCCACTCTCCCAGATGTATTGAGTAAGGTGATTCTGGCTTCTGCTGCAGGAACTCTCACTCCTAATCTGCCCACCCTCTGCCCAGCAATTAATCCTGTCCCCTTCCCCTCTCAGTTTTGCCCTCACCCAGGCCCCACCCCATCAGCCTCCAACCCCCTCAGTCCAGCCCACCCCAGCCTCAGCTCTGCTTCTCCTGGTGTTCTTCATTCCTTTCTCACAGACCTGCGGTGGGTAGGGGTGGGGAAGGGGCATCTTCCCTTACCAGGCTGGAGGGGGCAGCTCCAGGGGCTCTTCACCCCCCTCTGCCCCTTCCCAGGCCAGGTACTGTGGGGGGAGGAGTAGAGGCACAGTCCTGTCTGTGTTTCTTATGGGAGGAGGGAGCGGAGTTTCCCTGAGCTGCTGGGCACTTTGCGCTCCCCTTCCCTCCTCCATGAGAACAGCAAATGAAGGGGAAGAGACTGGCAGGGCTGAACTTTACCAGGGGGGTGGAGCTTCTTGCATCATTGCAAGACCAGCTCCAAAGCCCTCTGAAATCCCATCACTCACAAAGCATTCACAAGAGCTCGAAATTGACCTTTACCTGCATTGTGATCTGGTAACCTTGGAAAGCCTTCAATCGCTTTGCCTTCTCCTCTTCTTGTCCCATGCTTATCCATGTGTCCGTAACTAGGACATTGGCTCCACTTGCAGCTTCCAAGGGATCAGTCGTGAAAAACAATTTGGTGCTATACTAAGGTATAGTAAGGCAAGGGAGGTCAAACAACTTCATTCAAAACATAAAGTAAACCATATTTAACATATTGGCTCATACCTCTTTGGAGTACTCTTCAGCTACTTTAACGACGTTGGGGTCCGGTTCAAAGCCCTGTCAAAAAGATAACATTACAATGCACATTTACATTATTATTTTATTGAGCTGGTCGGAAAAACGTTGATGGAACCATTTCCCATGGAAGAATGCTGTTCTGCCAAAATCAAAATGCTCCGCAAAACTGCGTCGATTTTTACTGAAATTTAATTTTGGAGAAAAACTGGAGAAAGGTGTGTTGGAATTCCCTTCGAGAACTCTTTCCACTTGACTTACCAAGAACCCTGTTCTACTCCAGACTTTGTCACTCAGATATTTTTACTTGGCATACAGCAATGCAAAGCTGAGTTGATCAGACGCAAATGCAAGGGTGGGTAGGGCACACCACACACTCAAAATTACCCAGCAAACCACTTCCTTTATATACAGTTACACATTACATTGCATTTACTTGCATTACACGTTTTGGGTTTGGTTTGGTTACGTTGCATATCCTGTCCATATATTGTTATTCTTGTTCCTAGTAAATGTTTCTCTGGGTGTTCTCCCTCTTATCTTAGCTGGCTCAGACATTCTGTCTTTTTAGCCTAATGACCTATTTACTTACCTTATTTAGCACAAATGTTCGGTTTTCAATCTAAATGATCTCTTTAGCTCCCTAATCCTATCCTACAAGAAATGTTGAGGCCTCCCTCCAGGTGTTAGTTACTCATGCCAGGCCAGGCCTCATCAACAAGGTGTTCCAACAATGTTAAAACATTCCATTCTGACACCTTTGAAACAGATTTATTTCAATTTTTCATTTTGAAACAACTTTGTCTTGATTTTTTATTCTGTATTATACTATATGTTATCAGATTTTTAAGTCAAAATTAAAACAAAACAATTTTGTCTAAATGAAACATTTCAGTCAATGTAAAGTAAGGAGTGCTTTGTAATTTTCCTTTCTAGAGAATTTTGAAACTTTCAAGTTTCATTCCAATTTTGAATTCTTTTGGGAAGCTCAATGTCCATCCCCTACACAATTCTATTATTTATATTTAAGTAGGTGCTGAAAGGCCCTAGTCAGGATCAGGACCTCATTAAGTAGAGTGCTGCACAAACACATTGTAGAAGGGCAGTCCCTGCCCCAATGAGTCATTTTACATTTTAATTATATATATATATATATAAGCAAATCTATGTAAAAAGTCTACCAAACAAAACATGCATATCCATTGAGATTAAGGCAACTATGATACCAAATAGCAAAGGTAAGGAGATTTATATTCCAGCTTGACACCCGCTTCTTCTGAATCTGCTGTGCCTAAGCCAGTGTTTCTGAACTGATTAATCAGAAAGGAAATCAGGGGCATCATGAGATGTTGAAAATTTTATTATAATCTAAAGCAAAGAAAATCTCGCTCCTCCAGTTCCCACACACCCTTACCCTTCAAGGGAAGCATTCTCTGTCAGCCTTTCAGGACACACACAAATAAATTATATTGGCTTAGCATTGTTCTGATTGATATACTTTGATGGTAAATATAAAATGGTTTGGTGTTTGTTTGTTTACTTTGAATAAGTGGTTGCCAACTTGAAAAGATTGTGAAACACTGGTTTAGGCTATGTGCTATTGTAATCCACACACTGTCTGGGTGTGGTGTTCTGTCCCAGCTAGTGGCACCGAGACCACTTAGAGAGAATTAAATGAGTCTGGTCTACAGCCTTAGTTAAGAGACAGTTGGCTTTTAGCTTATGCTGTAGAGCAGGGGTCGGCAACCTTTCAGAAGTGGTGTGCCGAGCCTTCATTTATTCACTCTAATTTAAGGTTTCGCGTGCCAGTAATACATTTTAACATTTTTAGAAAGTCCCTTTCTATAAGTCTCTAATATATAACTAAACTATTGTTGTATGTAAAGCAAATAAGGTTTTTAAAATGTTTAAGAAACTTCATTTAAAATTAAAATGCAGAGTCCCTCGGACGGGTTCCCAGGACCCAGGCAGTGTGAGTGCCACTGAAAATCAGCTCGCGTGCTGCCTTTGGCACTCGTGCCATAGGTTGCCTACCCCTGCTGTAGAGGCTCATGCACTAAGCTCCAGAAGTCCCAGGTTCAATCCCTCCGCCGACGACCGGGGTCCATTGGTGTTACACTACGTCTTCCTGGGGATCTTCTTAAATCAAAATACTCAGACCCAATAGTGAAGCACATAAATGGTGTTCTTTGTTAGACTGTAAGCAACGTAGGGTAGAGAGCTTATCTCTGTCTTTGCATGAAACTGCACTTTAGCCCCTCTAGAAATAAATAATAATTCATCATGTTTTCACTGTGGACTACATTGTGGTGGGTGGTGGCACAATGAGGGGGGAGGAACCTCTTCACGCTTGTGTGGCCTGTGTACAGGCTAGCCAGATTTGCAGCTTCTGGGAGGCATGCGAGTGTCTGAGAATAGAACTTGAGCCTTAGATAGTTTTACTTCCCTTCCTCCAAGTGCAGGACTCTCTTACCTTTGGAGTAGCAACACGCAGATGCATCCCAAATTTAGCAGCACTCATCAGGATGGAATTCAGGACATTGTTTCCATCACCAATCCAGCTTATTGTGAGCCCCTTCAGATAGCCATAGTGTTCCTGACAAGCAAATAACAATACCACAGTTATGATTTTGGAGATTCGGCAAACAAGTGGCAATAGGTGCCAGGAGTGGTGACAACACTAGGCTGAGTCAGTGTAACTTTGCCACCTTCCGTTATGAGCAGCTGTCATGTGTGGAGCATTGCTTTGATCAAACCTGTAGCAGTCACAGGATGGTCACTCCAGAAACAAGCAATAAGACTTTACAAAGCTGAACAGGAAAAAAAAGCATCCTACAGCTGAACTTAAATCCAAGAAAAGACAACTGAATGAATGTACCCCCTTGTCTTACACCAGCACTTCTCAAACTCTGGGTTAGGCCCCCAAAGTGGGTCATGACCCCATTTTAATGGGGTCACCAGGGCTGGCATTAGACTTCCTGGGGCCCAGGAGCCCAAAGCCAAAGCAAAGGGCTTCAGCCCTGAGCAGCGGGGCTCAGGCTTTGGCTTCAGCGCTAGGCGATGGGGCTCAGACTACAGGCCTCCCGCCCAGGGCTGAAGCCCGTGGGCTTCAGCTTTGCCCCCCGGGTCGTGTAGTAATTTTTGTTATCAGAAGGAGGTCATGGTGCAATGAAGTTTGAGAACCCCGACTTACACTATAGCAGAGTGTTATTGCTTCACCTTGACTTAAACTTTGATTGTAGTAATTTCATAGCAGAAATATATATATCTATCAAAAGGTAAAGGGCAGGATTTTCAAAAGCTCTTAGGTGATTTACAAAGAGAAGCTGTATTGAAAGCCAAAAAGAATTGTGCTCCTATGACACTTAGATGCTTTGAAAATCCCACTCCAAGTCTATTGGGAGTCAAGTGGGGCAAAATTCCTATTTCTATTTTTAGCTTTGCTAAAAATTTGATACACGTGCAAACATCAACATTTTAAAACCAGCTATGGGCATTCACTGTTAGGCCTTGTCTGCACTGAGGATTTGCCCCAGTTACGGCCATTGGTGTAGCTGCAGCAGTAAACATTTGTATAGTTAAGGAAAGCCACATTTAGCAGTGATAGAGGTTTCAAACTAAGGTAAATGCCACAAATACAGAGTCCAGTGGCACCTTAAAGACTAACAGATTTATTTGGGCATACGCTTTCGTGAGTAAAAAACCCACCTCTTCAGATATATGTAATTTTCACTCCATGCATCTGAAGAGGTGCATTTTTTACCCACAAAAGCTTATGCCCAAATAAATCTGTTAGTCTTTAAGGTGCCACTGGACTCCTCATTGTTTTTGTGGATACAGACTAACTCGGCTACCCCCTGATACTTGACACCAGTACAAATAGTGGCTTTGCCTGTTTACACTTGGGGTTTGTACCAGGGCAGCTATACCAGTAGCTGGCCATTAATGGCTGAAAATGGGGGCAACTACTCAGTATAGGCAAGACCCAAGAAGGAGCAATTGGAAATGAGCTCCACTTCTCTGCTGATCAGACCAATTGAAGGTCCTTTTCAAAAAAGGGCTTATTTAAAATAAGCATATCTGGATGTACCATAGTAACTACTGGGCAATGGGCTTTTTAAACAAAGATAAAACCAAATATGTTCACTCTTTTCCCTGTGCCCCCAGTATGGCTGAGAGGACTTGAAACATGATCTAGAGCCCTTCATCCCTAGGTCACCAGTTCAGGCCTAGCTTGCTGTTGTATTGTAGTAGCCAAAAGCCCTTGCCACTGAACAATTGTTTCAGTCATTAAAATTAAAAGACTTGGGGTTTGGCACAGTGGATGAGCATCCATTGAGCTAACTAGCATCTATGTAGACAGTCTCAGCAGAGATCATGGGGGCCTGAACAAGAATAGGGCGGGAACTCCCCTTTCTCTCCCAGAGATGGCCCCTCCAAAGCAAATGTTTGTGGACTTGTTCCAGGGTAAAAATAGCATAATTTCTGCCAGTGACCGCAGCTTTGTGTGTCAAAAAATAGCAACATTTGGGATATTTAATGTAATTCATAGAAAAGTACTTGAGAGCCAATCTCTGGTGCCTGACTTCACCCCTGGCCCCATATTGTCCTTTGGGAGGCTTCACAAATCCCCAGTAGTAAGCCCAGCATTGTCAATTTTGTTTGTCCTTGTAGCTGGCAGGCAATTGCATCTCCTCCCAGCACAGCTACAACCATTTCACCAGCTGGAATCATAATGCAAATGACTCCTATGCAGATCACTGGCTGAAAGGATGTTTCTGGCATAGTATTAGGTGTTTACAAAAGAACAGGATAGGACTTGGTGGATACAGAGTATTGGAGAGTAACAGCTGGACAGATTTTCCAGCATCCCCAAAAGCCCCATTGTATCCCATTCTATGGTGTCCTTGGAGGAGGCCATGCCAAGCCTATAGTTTCAGGGGTTAATTCTCATCTAGGGTACAGCAGGAGCAGGGTGGAAGTACCAACTGGGAGCTAATTAGTTGCAACTGAGCCTGTTTGGGCTCATTACTTTAAAATAAAAGTTACAAATTGTAGTGTGTGAGGCATTTGCTGGTGGGCCATGGAAAGCTGGCCACTCCTATGGTGCCAGCTCCTTGTTATTTCCAGATGCTCAACTGCATTAAAAGAAGCAAACATATATTAAATACTTTCCTATGTGATGTTCCCATGTAGCCAGTTTGCCAAAGAGATGCTATGGGATGGCAAATAGGAGCAGAGATGGTCCACACTGCCATCTTTATATTAAAATGCAGCCCATGCTAAAACATTGAGAAATGCAGCCTTAAAAGATGGTTGCGAGATACAAGGGGGTTGTGCTGACTGAAACCCAGAGGAAAGGAGCTCCGAGGAAGCTTAGGAGCTACCCTATATGGTTTGTACTTCTTTTTCTATTTTAGAGTTCACTGCTTGTAAAACTGCACAGAAGGAATACAGTGAGAGACTTTTGCTGTAATGGTAACAATCTAGGTTAAACCAGAATCATGACAGCGAAGCCAGAGAGAGTGACATGTTCATACCTGAACCTCAGGTGACTTTTCTCTCCTGTCATTCTGCCCCCAACCCTAGTACACTGCCTTAGGTATTTTATCCAGTTGGCTAAGATTGCGCTACAGTTTCTCTTTACATTTTAGGCATGACAACCAAGTATTTTGGTTTTTAGTAAAACCACAAAAACTGAATGTTCTTAAAGTCTGGAGCCCTTTTCCCCCACATGATTGCCTCCCTTTGGCAGTCTGGGAGTGCTCTGAAACGCAACAAAACTTGGCTTCTGCTCTTTACTGAAAGACCCACCTAAATGATTAAAGTTGCCCGTTCAATCTATTTATTTCATGTCGGTACTTAGTTTCCAGGTTTCATTCAGTCCCTACCCTGGGCTGCAGCTTATCAGAAAATTTCAGAAAAAAGACAAACTGAATACACACCACTTGTTATTTTGTTAGCTTGCTTATTTTAAAGAAGGCCAGGCCGCAAGCCTCTCCTTCTGAAAGTGGAAGAGGCTAGTTTAGTTAATTAGGAAGTTTCAGGTCTAACCCATCATCTGATCTTATTTCTAGCCAACCACAAACTGTGACACCAGCTTGAGTTGATACTGTAAATTATTGACAATATTAACCATACAGGATTCAATTATAGCATACATTTGAATAATGAGTCAATATTTTGGCATAATTTAAAATGTAAATCCAGGGGGGTAGCCAGAAAACATATTTGCACAGGAGGCAGCGTGGTTCGGTGGTAATGCTTCAGAGTGGGAGTCAGGAGACCTGTCTTCTATTCCTGGCTCTGCCACTGACTTGCTGTGACACCCTGGGCCAGTCACTTCACCTCTGTTTCCCATCTTGTCTATTTAAATTGTAAAGTCTCCAGGGCAGGGACTGTCTTTTACTAAGTGTATGTACCACACCTAGTACAATAGGGACCTGGTTTGGTTGGGATCTCTAGGTGCTACCATAATATAAGCACTCATCATTTGATAGATCCATCAGTGGCTATTAGCCAGGATGGGCAGGGATGGTGTCCCTAGCCTCTGTTTGCCAGAAGCTGGGAATGGGAGGCAGGGGTGGATCACTTGATGCTTACCTGTTTTGTTCATTCCCTCTGGGGCACCTGGCACTGGCCACTGTCAGAAGACAGAATACTGGGCTAGATGGACCTTTGGTCTGACCCAGTATGGCTGTTCTTATGAAGTGAGTGACAAGAATCTCTTAGTTTGGGTTCTGTGGGCCACATAGCTTCTTTTGCCATAAACTAACAGGGACCATATGGCAGCTGTCTTTGATTTGGGCAATAGTGCAACAACTCATACTATTGAAAATACTTAAAGAGGAGCTTCTCATAAAGTCTACAACAACAAAGGTATAGAAAACTTAAAGGGGGAGAAGGACCATGTTATGTAAGGTTCTGAAAGAAAAAGTAAAAACTAGGAAGATAATAGAGTGAGCAACAAACAAAAATTAAAAAGCAGCATGGTATTTGTATTTCCTGATGTGCCCAGCATTCACTATCTATGAGGATGGAGCAGTCACTCAACAATGGCAGAAATAGATAAGCAGACTCTGAAATCTGTCAGCTGTACTTGATATTGAAATTCCAAGTTTTACTTCTGCTACTCTGTGGACAAAGAGGTCAATGGCATTTATATATCACTGGTCAACTAACCAGCTAGCAAAGGTGAGGATCGCCTTGAGAAAGAGTGAGCATTGTGCCTGACCACCTCTCTCCAAAAAGGATTGAGGTATAGGAAACATTTGACTTCAGACAAGAGAGATAAGAACCAGTGAGGCATTGACAAACTGTCCCACACTCACATGTGAGTCAGCTGACATGGACAGAGAGATCAAGATCTAAATTGTTCACCAGTCAAGCTTCACAGAACACCCCTTAGTAAGCCAGAGCTTATATTTAACAGAGTGTTAAGCATTGGATGAACTATGGAAGTGGCAATCATGGGCCTTAAGCATGAAAGAGAATGGAAAACCTGTGTGTACACTAAAGGCATACAAGCCTATAGTCCTAGAAGGCCAGGTCTCAAGAACACCCAAAATTGGGTCTCAAAACACTTGCAGAAGATCT